ACCGTCACGTCCCAGAAGCATCAAAGCGCATATTTGAAAAAATGAAGTAACATGGGGTCTCGCTCCAATGCCCACCGAACGTGCAAAATGGGAATGAATCTTCCGCTAGAACATGGAAAGATACATCACCATAATTTTTGTCATTTTGTGCATGAGGTGAGTAGTGGAGCGATGCGCACAGCAAGCGCTGCGCGCACTGCACGCCTCAAGGGCATATTTGCAAATCTGGTGCTATATTTGCAGCAACCTCCGGGGCAAATTTGCAAATTCACGACTCTCTCCTCTTTTATTTTAGCTAACGACCTCAACTGCATATTGTAAATCTGATGCCCCATAGCGAGCGCTGCGTGGACTGTTGCACCTCTCTCTCTCTCTCTCTCGCTCGCTCTCGCTCTCTCTCTTCGCAGTCGCATGTGGCCGTGACGGAGGTCAACCTCCCAGGGCATTTCCATAGCAGCGATTGAACCCCTCCCCCACCCTCCCAAATAAATCTGTATCTATCCTAAACACATCTGTATCTAACCTCCATCACGGTCACATGCGACCCATTATTATAAAAAATTTGAGTCGCATCAGTGCCATATGAGCTTATGAATGGAACTCACTTCGTCGTCTACCGCGGTGGATTCCACCGCTCTCCCGCATCTGTATCTGACCTCCATCACGGCCACATGCGCGACCCATTATCATACTGTAATATAAAATTTGAGTCGATATATACATCGTCAAACAGAGCCGCCCGGTAATCCGTAGGTGGCAGAGAGGGAGGGAGGGAGAAGAGGACAACAAACGAGCGGCTGTTATATCGTCGGAATTTCACCAACAGACTCATCAGGCGGCAGAAATATAAGCACAGAGAGAGAGAGAGAGAGAGAGAGAGAGAGAGAGAGAGAAGAGGGCAACAAACGAGAGGCTGGGACAGACTGTTTCGTCGGAGTTTCACGAACTCATCAAGACTACTAAGGTCCGCTAGACTGCTCCGTTGATTGATTGCGTGAGTGGTAGATTTATTTAACTAATCAAGAGATCGATTGATCGAGTGATCGCTCCGTCGATTGCTTGATTAGTTGATTGATCTCTTGACTGAATTCCTTGGTTAGTTGATTGATCTATTGACTGAATTCCTTGATTAGTTGACTGATCTATTGACTGATTGACGATAGTTTGATCTCTTCCCTCCCCCCGCGCCCCCCTC